TGTGTGTTCCTGACTGATGTTGGGAGAAGTGGTCACTCTTTGGAAAGTCCAGGGTATTTCCATCCCTAGAACCAGAGGGAAACCTCCAGTGTTCTAGTGGCCATGCTATCTAGGCTGAAATTCACATCTTCCTGAGACTGCCTACCCACCTCCAAATGTTTCCTGCGTATCTGAGTATCCTAGACAAAGGGACGAAAACATTTTCTCTTCAGATTGAAATGCAAAGCTAAACTTGGGATCTAGGTCATTGGTTAGCCTACTTTTTAAGCACCACGTCCACTCCGACCCTTTCAGTCATCTTCACCCTCATTCCCAACACCCTGGCAATTAAAAAGCTTTGGCAACTTTATCCACTAAGTTTTTATCATCCCTTCTTGATATCCCACTGTCTGTGAGTGTAGTTGAAGCCCTTATTGTACAGCCTGAAATTATTCAACTGGTCCTGCTTCTACTCAAGTCCTCCTTCAATCAGTGTGCTACACAGTGCCAGCGTGATTGCTCTAAAATGCAGACACGTCCCTTTTACTCTTAAAATCCTTCAAGAACTCCACGACATTACGGGAAACGTTTGAAGCACCCCAGCATGGCCTACAAGACTTTCCATGTTCTGGTCCTGCAACTTCACAGGCTCACATTTTGCACTCCAACTATACTAGCTGCTTATAATCTTCCAGAATTTTCCAGCCTTTGTGTCTGTGCTCTTGGGATTTCCTCAGGGCAATGGCTTCTATTAACACTCAGATCAGCTGTGCCTTCTTATAGGAAGCTGTCCTTGACCTCTCCCCTCCTCCAACTACTCTTGGCCAATAGCTCCTCTTTTGTATTCACCTAGAACACTCTGCTTATCACTATCACTTACTTCGTTTTTTTTCCTTTTTGAGGAAGATTAGCCCTGAGCTAATATCTGCCACTAATCCTCCTCTTTTTGCTGAGGAAGACTGGCCCTGAGCTAACATCCATGCCCATCTTCCTCTGCTTTATATGTGGGATGCCTGTGTAGGAGTCTGGAATTGGCACCCCAAGATACGTCTCTTTGGCATCAGCATTATTTGAGGCTGATTGCTTTTGATAAACTGGGACAGGGAAGGAGGCTCTGAGGAATGGAACTTGCCCTTTGTTAGGACACATTTACATTTGTAAGGTAAATCTCTATCTGTAAAAGGTGCCTCCTTCTCTGTATCAGGAAGAAGAAAGGAGATGACCTTCTCTCTAGAAACTCTTAATCAATGCCAAAGGCAAGGACTTAAATCTGCATTCTATTGTGCTTGTCTGGTAACCTCCTGTAACTGACTTCCCTCCCCCTCCCAACGGTGGCATTTCTTTAAGGATTAAGCATCTTTCCTTAGGCTAGGAACTGATTGCTGAGCTCACCTGTGACCACCCAGCTCAAGACAATAGACTTGCCTCCTGCTGTGTCCATCAAGCGCTGTGCCAACAGGGCAATCTTGTGACTGTTGTGGGAGGGACATTTCAATCATATGTGAAACACCCTGTTTGGGGGTACATAACCACTCTATGCACCCCACTTCTTCAGTGCCCTTTCTTCCTTCCGGAAGAGAGGCCCCGGGCCATGGTTCCTCATAAAGCTTTGTTTAATTTTCTCTTGCTATTCTGTCTCATGTGAATTTAATTCGTTCTCCGGCCAGACGAACCCCCATTTTGGATAGAGGAAAAGTCTTCCTCCCCGACACCTGCTACAGCATGGCCTGAGAAGCGGTGCAGATCCTTTGGAACCCAGGATCCAAACCGGCAAACCCTGAGCCACCAGAAGCAGAACGTGCGAACTTAACCTCTGTGTCACCGGGCCGGCCCCTGTCACTTAGTTCTGAAACTGTCTCTTTAAGAATTTTTCTCTTCACAATAGAGTGTGCGTATAGTGGGAATCCAAGAAATATTAATTAAATTTAACTAAATTGATTTTGATCTTTGAGAACTTCCAATAGTGTCAAGCTTTTTCCTGCATCAAGTTCTTTGCATAATTAATTCTGCCTGGAATAATTTTCTCCTCACACTCTCCTTATTTCCTACATAGCACATATTACAATTTCAAATTATTTATGAAGGTAATATAGCTAGTAGTTAATGATGCGGGGTCGGTGAGCTGAGGAGTCGAAAGAAAGAGTTCTTAGACTCTTACGATCTGGCAGTAGTGCTCTTTTATTTAGAGAATAGAATAGCATGGGGACAGGACCCATGGGCAGTCAGAGCTGCTGCTGCTGCCGCTTCTGCTGCCCCTGCTGGCATGAGGACAGGACCCATGGGCGGGCAGAGCCACTGCTGCTGCCCCGAGTTGAGGGTTAGGGCTAATTTTATAAGGCATGGGTATGTGAGTCATCTCTTTACAAGACAGAGGAAAGAACATGAAAAAAAGTTAAAATGGTATCAGTGCAGGTGGGGTCTGGTCATTGGGTGATCCCATGACTTTTAGACAAGAATCAAATCGGATTAAGTAAAGGTTAGAAAGGTTAGAAGCCACCACCCTAAATCAGTTACATGAGATTGCCAGACAGCAACCAACTTAAGTTCTTGCCTTCCCCATTAAGAGTTTCTAGGGACAAGGTCATCTCTCTTCTTCTTCCTGGTACAGAGAGGGAGGCACCTTTTACAGATATTTACCTTACAAATGTAAATGTATCCCAACAAGGGCAAGTTCCATTCCCCAGAGCCTCCCTCCCTGTCCCAGTTTATCGAAAGCAATCAGCCCCAAACAATCCTGATGCCAAAGAGACATGTCCTGGGTTGGCCAATTTCAGGTCCCTACAAGGTCATCCCCTCTTCCTTCACAAATGCAAATATCTCTCAAAGAGCAAGCAAATTCCAGTCCTCTGAGCTTGCTTCTCATCTGCAGTTTTTTAAAATTAACCAGCCTAAAATCCCCATCAGTTAACAGCCCAGGTACTGATGTCAGAGTGCCTAATTTCAAAATGCAAAATGGGTGACCTTAAGCAATTTTCTCACTTTGTGTGTGTATGTGTACATGCCTCAGTTCCTTATCTATAAAATGGGGCTAATAATCCTGGTTATGAGGATTGAGTTAAATGAGATGATATGTGTTAAACAGACTTGTGCCTGGCATGTAGCTAACATTTATTGCATTCTAATTTTAAACAATTTTTTAAAATTTTTGAATGTCATTTTGCTGTAAACTCCAAGAAGGCAGGTGCTCTGATATCATCTTCATTATTGTATTCCAGTGCCTAGTATGGCATACAGAAAGTGTAAGATAAATTCATGTAATCTGAATGACTGAATAAATGACAACCCTTACTTTAGACTATTAACTGAAGATAAGTAGAGAACTGTGACTGCTTATCAGAGTGCTATCAGAAGCCATACTACTGGCCTTCCTTAAGCAACAATTAACTTCCTAAGCCCTTATACTCACTTACGTACATAACCAAGCAACTCTTTTTTTCTTGAAAAAAAAAATCTAGTTTAAATTTCATCTAGTTTCAATGAAAACACTTGGGTGAAAGTTAGATGAGTAGAGTCATTCTTGGATTTTCATTAACAGAACATGGGCTCTTATTTACTTCATTCAGAACTGAGAGTATCATGTCTAGGACTGACTAAGAAGTTATTGGAATAAACATGCTCAGGTTAAGGTGACCTTGCTCTACAAAGAACAGAGAGAGTCTTAGGATGACGTACTAGAACAAAATGGCAAACTGTATCAAAATAACAAGGCGATGTAGCCAGTTTTTTAAGCAGGGTAAACTCCAATAATGATCCTGAAATTTATTTTCAGTGAAAACCTTAGCTTTTCCCCACATAAACAATCTTATAAAATTAGTGATATAGACAGAGGAGAGGAAAGGGCAACTTTTCACTTTTTTAGTAGGGAAGGAAGTAAATCTCTGAAAAAGAAGGAAAATCTAAAGTCAGCTTCCCTAAGTTACAGAATTTTAAAAATCACACATTTTGAACAAATAGATGTAAAAAAAAAATAAGTCAGTGGGTAAAGGGAGTGAAAATAGTTATGCTAGAAAACATAGGTTGAGGAAAGCTACAGTGGCTGAATGCAGCCAAGGCAAAAAGGATAATACCAGTAGGTTACTCAGTTCTCATTCTCTAATAAAGGCCAGCCGAGTGGATCATCAGGAGCAGAGTACTACAGGTTCTGTTCACACTGCCAAAAGCTTATAAAAACCAGTGGACCATCATGGTGGCCCTACCCAATCTGAGCCCTGAAGACCCAGGGACAGCTCCTTTATTTTCCAAGTCTGGAACCAGTATCAATTCTTTTGCTGTCCAATTATATGTGTGTTAAACATGTTCATTCATGTCCCATACTTGTTCCTCTGTATCATATTATTTATCATATTGCACAGTCTTAGAGGTTGGAAGTCATGGCTTTGTGCAAATCTTAAGCCATACGGTAATGGTTTCAGAGGAGGAAGAGCGGCAGGCTTCCTAGTGTAGGTATAGTTCTGGCTGCTGGACTAGAAATTCAAGCTTCTGCATCTTAGTCCGCTTCTTAGGAAAGACATTAATCATGCAGGTTCCCTCCTTGGGCAAATCATAGATGCCTTTCCAGTAGTTCTTGCTTGCCCAAAGAACATAGAATCTCTTATCCTCACAACACAAATACCCTTTCTTCTCTATAGTTTTGTATCTAGAGTCTTTCAATTATCAGCCAGATGAGAAAGCAATTCTAGGGGCTGGCCCCGTGGCCGAGTGGTTAAGTTCGCACACTCTGCTTTGGCAACCCCGGGTTTCATAGGGTCGGATCCTGGGCACAGATATGGCACTGCTCATCAGTCCATGCTGAGGCGGCATCCCACATGCCACAACTAGAAGGACTCACAACTAAACATATATACGACTATGTACCGGGCGGCTTTGGACAGAAGGAAAAAAATAAAATCTTAAAAAAAAAAAAAAAGAAAGCAATTCTAGCCCTTTCTGACCCAATGAGAAAGACTGGAGGACTGAGGAAAGGCAAACACAGGAGGCCAAGGAGAGAGAAGGAGGGGGGCTCTAGTCAGGTGTGTACTCACCACTTTTTGGTTCCCTTCATTATCGGTGAGTAGCCATTCGATATCCAGGGTGTCTTTTTCTGGAAGCCCCAGTTGATGGTGACAGGGCAAAGTGACCTTTTCCTCTGCCACTCTCTTGATCTCAGTGTGAGTCCCCAAGGTTCCAGCATAGTAGGAAACTGGAAGAGGAAAACCTCTAATGAATAATGCAATGTGTGGGGAGCAAATATTACAACTAATAATTATTGGATGTTGCTGCAGGCAAGGGGTAAATCGAGGTGTTGGAAGAATCCTAGACAAGAAGTACTGGAAGTCCTGCGGTCTCACTCTGGCTCCTCCATTGAGTGAATTCATCACGTCTTCCTTAACCGCCTGAATTACACTCCTACTAATGCCCATCTTTCCTACCTTACTGGGTTTTTATGAACAGTGAAATCACTCAGGTCACCAACAACTGTCTTTTTTTTATTGCTGAGGAAGACTTGCCCTGAGCGAACATCTGCGGCCAGTCTTCCTCTTTTTCGTGTATGTGAGCTGCCACCACAGCATGGCCACTAACAGACAAGTGGTGTAAGTAGGTCTGCGCCCAGGAACTGAACCCAGGCCACTGAAGTGGAGCACACTGAATTTAACCACTAGGCCACTGGGGTTGGCCCACAACAAGTTTGTCTTTTGATCCTTCTCTCCCCTACTAGTAGAGGCTTCTAAAAGGATGGAAACCAAAGGAGAAGGCAGGGGTTGGCATCCTCCCCAGAACAGGCTCCTGATGCCAGTTCAATCCTTAGAGTCTTCTTAGAGACAAGTTTCCCTCTCAGACCTCTGAGTAAGTGCAGGAATGCCTCTAGGCACAAGTGGGCTCTTATAGGCAGTTCCTGCTTCCCTTAGTGACACACGTTCTCTCATGCCCCCGACTTCTCTCTCTCATTCTTTATAGTTTCATATCACATGGTTTCAAAATATGAGGCAGCTCTTTCTATGCAAAACAAAATTTTGAGTTACCACATTTGGATCCTGTCCCGCCATCCATCTATTATCTCTTTGGCCAATAGGAAGTCAATTCCACTTTTGGCTTTCTTTACCTCTAACTTTCATCTTTTTCCAGGAATGGTATTTTGTCAGCAACTTTGGACTCCGAGCTCACCTTCTCTCTTTCCTATTAATCTCTCTCTTAGTATCTGACTAAAGCTGTGACATTGTTGACTGTTAAATCTACAGTATTGATGACTGATGAGTTGATGAAACCTCATAGGATTCTAGGTATGATGTGTCTGGCATTCAAGGTTTGCTTCAGCTCCAGATCCTCCTTTACTTCCTTACACAGTGATAAAGAAGCTCAGCATGAAAAGTGATCTCTCTCAAATCTTTCACAGTGTAAAAGGGTCACACAGCCTCCAGGTTGGAACAGCCCCTAGTGCCAGGGCTTGTGTGAAGTCCTTTCTCCTGGAGAGAACTCACTCTGCCACTTCAGAAGGGTTTTAAGCACTAAAGACCAAGGATCATGACTAGCAGAAGCATGTAAACTACCTCTCATTTCCTCTTCATTTCCCAAAATTGAACAGCAGCAAATCTGTGGGAAGGAAAATGGCCTGTATTCTTGCCTGCAGGGAAACGAAATGAGGAAGGGGGGGGAGGGACGACTGTGGTTCTCTCTGCAGGGGGGCTGATTGGGCTGAAACTGCAGGGTTAGAACCTCAAAGGCATCCACCCTAAAAGAAGCAGCAGGTGGATTCCCAAGCTCCATGGCAGAGAAAGGAGACTATAGAAATCTGCTGGGCTTAAGGAGGCATCTTCAAAACCAACGGGATAAACTCCTTGTAGGGTCTTAAGTGACATTCTCAAGAAGGTTTCTGTTATTTCTGTTCAAAACTTGAAACTACGATGGGAGTGGCCACCATTTAGTGAGAACTTCCTGTCGCATGACTCTTCACTGAGCACTTAACCCTATGAAGAAAGGATTATTATTCAAGTTTACTGAGAAAATTTAAAGAGATTAGCAGCTTGCCTGAGATCACACAGCTAGGAAGTGACAGAGCAAGGGCTCGACCCAGATCTGTCTCACTGCAAAGCTCACGCTCTGGCAGCCATGCTATGCTGCTCATGCCCTGTGTTTTGCGTGGCATCCCAGATGTCTGGTTCTCCCATTAACCTGTAAGCTCCTTAAGTTTAGGTACCATTCACTGCTGCATTCCCAAAGCACTCAGCCCAGTGTCTCGCACACTGCAGATACCCAATAAATATTTGTTGAATTGTTTTGAATCTAACCCATACACTCATTTTACCAATGAGCAAACTGAGTCCAGGGATAAAAGAGCTGCCCCAAGGTCCTACAACTCATTTAGTGGCAGGAATAACCTATGTAAAACCCATCCTCCCTCAGTCCCCATAAAGCAACTATAGAGCAGCAGGGAAATTAGGAGTTGGCACTGAACTAAGCTAAGCTTATAAGAAGGAGCTTCGGCTCCTACCCCTTATCACTTTCCACTGGACCTACAATGCTCAAATGAAACCAGTGCCCCAGACCCCAGGTAAAACTGGTGAACCCAGCACCAATTTGGTGCATACAGTAGGCACTTACTACACATTGAGTAAATAAATGCAGAGAATCAGCTGTGAAAGTTGCCGATTTGAGCCACTAGAGGGAATCAGAGGCTCAGATTTGGTTGATATCCTGAAAGGAAAGGAACAGTGGTGGGTGGTGTGTTTTGCCAGAGCACCAAGTTCTATTTATACCACATTCAGAATTAAATACAGCAGTGCAGGGAGGGGGCCCCTCAGTGAATATAAATGACTTTACCCAGGCAGGGAGCCTCAAGATCAGAGTGCACGCATCTCTAGTTTTCCCTGAACCTCAGCTCCTCAGACTCCAGGAGGCCATGGGGCTCCCTGCTGATTTCTCAGGTCCTTCTGTGCTTTTTTGACCCACACTGGTATTCCACAGCCTAAGCAGACAGGGCCCTGGGCGCTGTGTATAACTCTGAAGCTTGGCAGTGCTCGTGGGGGCTGCTGAGCATGTGTCTGCCACCTGGTGGGTGAGTGAAAGGGGCAATCCAAACACCCCGTGGCTAGACCTGGGTTCCCCGGGCATTGAAGGGTTCATCTTCTTTAAGAAAGACCTTAGGGATCATCAAAATTTAACTTACAAGGAAACTGCAGCCTGGAGAATTGAAACGTCAAGTCACAAGCTAGTTAGTGGCAGAACTGCAAGTAAGGGAATAGTCTCCCCTGGGTGTCTGGGACTTTTGCAGCATTCAGTGATGCGGAGAGGTGCTGGAACGTGCCAGTCGTGAGGACAGCCTCTGTAGGCATGTGCAAAATGCAGTCATGGAAGCCTACGGCTCTCCATAAGTGGAGCCTTCTGCATACAACTCAGGCACTTAACAAAGGACCTTTGGGAGCTTGGGAGAACTACCCTCTCTGAGCCTTCGTGTTCTCCTCTGCAAAATGGCAATTAAATGAGACACTGAGGTGAAGCACCTAGTGATGGCACACAGGAGTCTCCCCCTAAAATGCTCTTCTCTCCTAGAAGCAGGGGCTTTTTCTCAGATGACTGCTGCCTACATTCAGTTAAGACTAGTTTGTGGTTTTCTTTTCTAAAGGGATTTACATTTATTAAAGATTCTCTTGAGCCTTCAAGATCTCCTACAAAGAGATGGGGTAGGGGTAACATTTTTTCCCCAACATGAATACCTTTATATCACTGAGGGAAAATAAGCTACGTATTTTGAAGATGAATCCATTGAGAAGATAATAGTAAATTTTTAAAAGGCAATTTCTATAACCAATTGACTATTCTATTCACATTAAAACACTCATAATTGAAGTCTTTTTTTGTTTGGTTTTTTTGAGGAAGCTCAGCCCCGAGCTAACATCTGCCAATCCTCCTCTTTTTGCTGAAGAAGACTGGCCCTGAGCTAACATCCGTACCCATCTTCCTCTACTTTATACTTGGGACGCCTACCACAGCATGGCTTGATGAGTGGTGCTATGTCCACCCCCGGGATCCAAACCGGTGAACCCCGGGCCGCCAAAGCAGAACGTGCGCACTTAACTGCTGTGCCACACTGGGCCAGCCCCCATAATTGAAGTCTTTAAAAAATTTTTATGTACAGTGGCCAGCCTGGTGGTGCAGTGGTTAAGTGTGCACGTTCCGCTTCAGCAGCTTGAGGTTCCCTCGTTTGGATCCCAGGTGCGGACATGGCACCATTCATCAAGCCATGCTGTGGTAGGTGTCCCACGTATAAAGTAGAGGAAGATGGTCACGGATGTTAGCTCAGGGCTGGTCTTCCTCAGCAAAAAGAGGAGGATTGGAGGCAGATGTTAGCTCAGGCCTGAGCTTCCTCAAAAAAAAAAAAAAAATTTGTGTACAAAGAGCTAGAATTGTTTCTGGGGTCAGGTAGATGTCCTGAATGACCCTTTGAAGAAATTCATTTAGTCCATCTTAATGAAGCCAACATCCTTCACGTACTGGCGGAAACATTGTTTCCATCCCATATTGAGGCCGTATTTCCAGATCAGACTGTGTTGGTTTGAGCAGAAGTGGTACAAATGAGAACCATGGCTGAATTTTCTCATGATGGCTCCCTGTAGAACCACAGACGCTTTCACAGATGCATCTTGCTTTCACAGATACAACAAGGCAAAAGGCCAGGGGTAACTTTTAATAGAAACTAGGATGTTGCATTTAAAATATCTATTTCTCTCTTATTTCCCTAACAGAGAATTCTACTTCTCAAATTCTTCCTGAAGGCCTACAGAGCACAAGTTGCCTGAGATCTCATGGTTGGGTCTACATCTTACTCTCCAAAGAGATCCAAAGAATGGATCCTCCAGTGCTACCATCATCAACACAGGCACACATGCTCCAAGGCCCCATTTAGAAGAGGCCACAGTGCTTGGTGCATAGGTTGAGCACAAGTCGGTTCTTGTTTTAGAATTGAGTTGTTGGTTCCAAGGCTGTGTAGACGTGCAGTTTACAAGTAACAAAGTTAGAGAGCCATACTAGTGATGGTCCCATATCAGGATCAGGAGCTGTGCCATTCACAGTGTTTAGTGTACGGCAGGGCACCCGCTAATGGGCAGTTGAGGCGTGCAGGCTCCTTCTTCCACTCAGTGATTGCACTTTTCTCAATGAACCTGTTTACTTACCTGAATGGGAAGAGAATTTTCTTGTGTTTTGTTT